GCCAGTGTATATGTGGATCATAAACACTCCAATTTCATCAAGTAGATTAATCCATTGAGGAGTTAATTAGCTGAGTGATCTTATTAGGAATTATAGTAATTAATAATTAGTTAAAGCAGTGACTGGGGTCACCGGCTTTGAAGGGTGTATTTGGTCTCTACCTCATTCCTGTCTGGATCTTGCTGTCTCTTCTTCCTGGCTGTCATAAGAGAAGCAGGTTTCCTCTACCATGACCTAATGCCACGATATTCCTGCAAATGTCCTAATGCAATGGAACCATCTGACTGAAACCTCTGCCATGAGACAAAAATGTCTTTCCATTTCAACTAATTTTTTTTAGTATTTGGGCAAGGCAACAAAATCTGACACAACCCACCTTCAGAAAACACAGATAATCACTGAACCTGTGATATAGTGATTTGAATAAGAATTAAGAAATCTAAAGGAAGTAATATATGCATATATTTTTATAGTTTCTCAATGACTAATTAAAAAAAACACTAGCAATGAAAGTTTTCTGATGGTCCTGTATTATAAGTTTGTCTATCATTTTTATTTAAGGCAAATCAAAAAACCTGAAACACCTTTGCAGTCAACAAACTACTGACCAAATGAAATTTTCTTTCTTTTCTTATTTTATTTTTTAATTCATTGTCAGATAATTCTTGCTTCTGAGCTCCTAGTGGCTTTTCAGTCATAATATACATAATATTCTGACAATAATACTGTCATTTCAACATCCACTGTTTAATTTTCACTTTTTTATAATCAAGGATTATAAAACAATGAAGAATTCTTTTACTATGTAAACTTCTTAAACATTGTTTTATACATATGAAAGCAGCTATCTAAATATACTTTTTAATATATATGAATGGAAAAAACAAACAGCCATATAGCAAAGAAATAGTACTCTGAAAACACATTCTAAACATTGTAATTAATTAAAAGACTATTTAAACTAATTACTTAAAATTTTAAATTGTTCAGATTTGTAGGAACTGCACAAATGATTTTATCATTACAAGTTCACAAAAATTTTTTTTATTCTTTTAGGGAGAGAAACTTTTAAATGATCTGTCATAATACCTCTTAAAAATGTGGCATTAAAATTGCAAAACACTAGTGAACAATTATGACAATCTCTAGTTTCGTACTAGTGGAAAAATCTATTTTTGATGCAAGTTTCTAATGCCATCCTTTGTCATGATACTGGTGTGTGACAATGGAGAATACTCTGTATTTAGTCATTCCCTGGGATAAATCTTGCTAGGCTACACCAATAATTATTTCTAGTATTAGAGTCTCCACAAAATTAGATACAAAAATTCTTTATTATAAAAAACCCCATAACTGTAGTCAGATAAATGTGGTCTTCAAAACACAATATGTTCTTATTTCACTTGTCATGAACTGTCAAAAAACTCTGGTGGGAGAAGGGCTTGATAAAAATATTGATACAGCTGGTTGTGTAGATACAGCATGTGGCCATGACCTAGAAAGAGTACAGCAGTAATTCCCAATGGTGTAATTTGTATTTGTGAATGTTACTGACTAGCCATATACATTGCTCTGTGCATTTTATATTTTTGGCATTGCTATGAATCCCCAAAGTAAAACCTTCCTATATGCGGCCTATTCATCTTTGTATGTGCAGAGCATGAGTAAATGGGTTTATAGTGTTGGAAACAATTTTATGGAGAGTTTTATATGTGGAAGTCTTCACATCATGCAGGTTATCCAAAGGAATCCTATTAACACCCCTATATCATGAAGTCACCAACAAATGATAAGTCAAATGAAGAAAAACTGGAAGTAGAGCCACTCCATATTTCCTGAAAATCACCTTATGTTTGCATATATTTATTTTCACAAATAACAAATGTCAAGAATAGTAAATTGAAGTGTGGGTCACTTCAGAAACATGTAGTGTGCTAGAGTGAATTATTCTCAAAGTAAATACAATTGTAGTTTTCAAATTTATAAAGGGAATTTTAAAGAGAAATCTCAGTTTTGTAACTGCTGTAAGATTCCAATTAAAATATACAGAGCCCATCCCTAAAATCTATAAATACTTTCAGAAAAGAAAAATAATATGATGTTTTTTCTTTTTTCTTTTCTTTATTTTACAGATAATTTCTTTAATGTGCCAGTGAAGATGGTTACATTCCAGAATGCAGGGCCAGTTAAAAGGCTCATTGACATACATTTTTTTTCCTAGTTAATTCCTAGTTTTCAAAGGATGAGATTGTGTGTATTTATTTTCCTTAAATACAACTGGTGTGAAAACAGCCCGCAAGAAATACTATCTTCACGAAAGGTACCATTTTACAGCAAATATATGGATTTGGAAAGTATCTAAAGGAGGGATGGAAACATAATAAAAGTTGAATAGTAATTATACTAACTACCAGATAATGTAACTTTCCTCAGCCATTTAAAAGCTTGTTAAGTTTTTTTTTTTTTTTTTTTTCTGACAAGAGGATTTATTATGTTGCCAAGCCTGGTAATAAACTTGGGGGTTCCAGTGTTTCTCCTGCCTCAGCCTCCAGGAGTCCTGGCACTAGAGGTTCATACTTGCCCAGCTTTGCAAAGTTTTCTCAGAACACACAAACTCCTAACCATTCATATTACCACCTTCCCCGCCTCACCAAAGAGGAAACAATGATTTGCGAAGGCCATATAAAGACTGTCTTCCAAATATAGTTGGATAGAATCAAAACCAAAAAAAAAAAAAAAAACCCTTTTTCAGTTTTCATTACTTACGAATTTCAGTCTAAAACTTTCTTATTCTACATGTCAGCTTAATATTTCAAAGTTGCTTTTCCCAAAAGAAAAAGGAAAAATCTTACTGGGATTTTCTAAAACTCCCGTCACTTTTCAAGAAAGATTACCACCAGCCAACTATTTGATCCTAGTAACTTTCCAAATGTCATATTTTATACTTTCTCTTTATACATAAAGAAATATAGTGGGATGTGGTATTTAAATCCAAAATCCTATTTTCATCAATATTTGAGAATAGAAGACCTGACCTGATTTGCTGCTTCAGCAACTCTGAACTAATTCTAGCAGTGAACACTGCAGGCCATCCTTTAGGTTTTAAAGAAAACACCAGAGTAAGTTTATTTGCCAGTTTTCATTTCCAGCCATTTCTTTAAAGCTCAGTTTCTGAAGAACCAAAAGAAAAATAACTTGATAAAGTAGATTTTAAATAATTAAAGCAGATATTTTTTAACCTACCATTGATACTTGAAACCTGAAATCATGAAAAAATTGTTATTAAAATAGGACAGGAAGCCAGGTATAGTGGTCCACTCTGGGAGGCTGAGGCAGGTGAACTTTATTCAAACCCAGCCTGGGAAACTTGGCAAGACCTAGTCCCAGTAATTAAAAAAATACAAAAAAGCTGGGGCTCGGTGTGAAGTTCCTGGGTTCAAGTCTCAGTATCATGGGGGAGAGGACTTACACCCTTACACATACACACACACACACCCTTACACACACACCCTTACACAGACACACACACACATGCTACTAGCATTCTGTTTTCAAAATATAAGATTAAAACTTTCTAAACTATCATTCAGTGGACTTTTTGCTAGTTCTTCTTTTCTTTTTTTTTAATTCAACAGATCTAAAATACAGTAAAATTTTTGTCCTTAAAATTTATTCTGATAAGTTAGTCTTTGTCTTTAAAAAGAAATAATCTCGGGATTTTCGGTATGGTATGCTTTGCTTGAAGAATTTTTCTAAAAATTTCTCCTTCAGGACATAAGCAAAATTGTAACTTGGCCCAGGGTACCAGGATTACTTAAATCTGCTGTCCCAACCCGCCCAAACCCTCCAGGAGTGGCTGGGTTGAGGTGCACAGGGTGGGCCACTTCCTTCAGATAATGCTAGGTCTAATCACAATAAGGTGTTAATCCTGATCCAAAATTGACAGCTTCAAGGCAAAATGCCTCTAACAAAACCTGTACCTACCTTCACTAGAGAATTAAAACACATTAAAAAAAAAACAAAACTCCTAACGATATTTTTTGCCCTTATGTACACAAAATCCTTTAAACAAACAAAAGTATCACAATCTGGCAGTGAAAAATTATAAAAGGTGAAAACTATTGATTCACCCAGATAAACAAAGTGTGTATGTAAAAAGGTTAACTGACTTCTCATTGTGACATAACACAGGCATCTTAAGCAATCCCTAGCGTGCAGAGACATGATAACAAATAGTTTAGGGGCAGGGACCATGGCCTCCTCTAAGCTACTGATCTACCAGAAAACAGCCTGAAACAGGAAAGAGCACACATATGCCACTTGGAATGTATGATGCAAACCCCAGTCTTGAAAAAAAAGAATAGGAAACAGCTCTTCTGGCTGTGCTGGAGAGAAAGCACAGGAGAAACATTTAGCTGGCCTTCCCTGACCCTATATTCATGAGCAGCTGGAGTTTTTAAAGACAACAACTGGGGGGGGGAGTGTTTGTTCTTTGGGTGTGAATAATAACACCAGCTTTATACAGGGAACCTGCCTTATTTACAAATAGGAGCTGCCACATACAGTAAATTTACATCCTAACTGCACATGTGGTTTTATCATATGTGCGCTGCAGGGACCTTCTAAATTACCACCAGTTCCCTCATTTCTTTTGTCCTTTTGGTCCCATCCCAGTGGCTACTCCCCAGTCCTGACCAAATTCTGGGTTTCAGCAATGATTATCATTTAGCTTGAGCACATCATAATGAAAACCAACATACAGCACATTAAAGGAAAATGCAAAGTCCAAGTCAGTTTAAAAAAAAAAAAATCAGCCATTCAACGTAGAACATTTATTTTAGTGACATACAAGATGAGAATTTCCAGTATCACTTTAACCCGACTTTTAAAAAAATAAGTCTCAGATTCTTTATCCAATATTGTACACTGCTGCAAAATTTAAAGCATAAAAAAGAGAGAGAGAGAGAGAGACAGAAAAAGAAAGTGTCTCTTCCTGTTACCTGCCAAAGAAATGGATATGACAATTCCAGGTCCTATGTACCATCTCCAAGATAACCACCCTGAAATGTTCGGTAGGCCCCAAGGGTCCCGGTCCAGGGATCAGTCCTGGGTCTCCACCAGGTTCGGATCCCTAGCGCCGCAGCTCTGTGACCAAGACATTGTGTGCCTCCAGGCCCGCTGCAATCCTCGCCCCAGGCACTGCGGCAGGCAGGTTCTCCCCATGCCCCCAGGACTCTCCAAGCCCAGCTGGCTTTCTTCCACTGCTCAGAGAGGCCAGCCGCCCTAGCAGCTCCCAGGTTCCAGGACCCGGAGAGGGATGCTCTTCCAGATCCAATAACCCAAGTTTCTTCCCACCGACCCGGCAGCCTGCTCCAAGTTTGCTGCGCCGGTGAGCTCGCACCCCGCCCGTGGAGGGGTGGCTGGCGGGCGGGGCGGGGAGGGGGAAGGACACTGGAGCCTGGCTGGGGGGGGAGCGGAAGCCTGGGGAGGGGGGACGCGGGAGCCTGGCGGGGGCGGGGGAAGGACGCGGGAGCCTGGCTGGGGGGTGGGGGGCGGGAGCGCGCAGCCTCGGCGCTGCCTTTCTCTCCTTGCAACGCTGCCGCCCGCGGAGAGCACCGAGGTTCCCGGAGCTTTGGAGGGAGTCGCGGACGGGCGCGGGCGGAGGCTGGGGGACCACACGGTGAGCCCCTGCCCGCGCCCTCCACGCGCCCTGGGTTCCGCGGGATGTTCCCACACCCCGCACGTTCAGCCTCGGACCCGGGGTCCCCTCCCCCTCGCCTCCCTCCGCCCCCCACCCCCGGCTGCGAGGCGCCCCGCCGCCGCCCTTTCCCGAGCCCACAGACACCCCAGCTGCACCCCGGGCCATTCCCTGCGCGCCCCCACCCTGCAAAGCCCTCCGGAGCAAAACTCGGAGGTGGACGGGTGAGGGGGGGCGTGAGCCGAGGCCAGGCGGAAGGGTGAGGGAGAGGGGACTGACTTTGCCACAAGAAATAAAGGCCGGCTCCCCGCTGCCGGGAGCCCCGCGAGCGCGGTGATGTCAGCGCTGCGCTGCGGCCACTGCGCGGGGGACCGGGACAGGCTCAGGGAAGGGCACGGGCGCGCGTGCAGCGCAGCTCAGCGGGCGCTGCTCTCCGGCTCGGCTTGGCCGGCTCTGCGCGGCTCCACTCCCAGCTCCCCTCTCAGTATGATGCTTTTTCAAAGCGTTATCCTGGTATGGGGAACCCTAAAACATGTCGCAGAAAACCCATTACACTTCTGGCCTTTAGAGAAGAAATTTAAAACATATGTTTAGCAATCTCAATGATGAAGGTCACTCAACTGAAGTTTGCCATGCTAAAAAATGTCTGGAAGGTAGGGACCACCACTTTAAATACCTCTTAATTTTAGAGGTAAAGGGTAACTTGTATTAATCTCATTGTGTCTCAATAGTTTTACATTAAAATATTTATACAAGCTTTTTGTCTTTGTGTATGTATCTTTTTATTTTTTTGGCAGGCTCTGTATTTACTAGTTACTATTATAAAGAAAATATATAAAAGAATAGAAAGTACTAGGGCAGAAAAATTAAATTCTATGAGCATTTTCCCCATGAATAAAACCAAATGTGAATAATGTGCTAAAGGAAGTCAAAACATTGAGAAAAAAAAAATCTTAGTCACTGCAAAGTTTACTATCTCCTTAAGGGTCACATAAGGAACTAAAACTCAGAGGTGTTTCATTCTTTTCTATCAAAAACAGATGAACATCCTCCAAAAACAAATGGGCATCCTTCCAAGAATTCCTATTTGGAACATGAGTTTCTAAGATGTTTAAAAGTGATTGTGGTATGAGTTCCTAAAAAATACGGTGGAATAAACAGTGACAAGTCTTTTTTATTTTTGTTTATTTGCTGGTACTAGAAACTGAACTCAGCACCTTGCACTTGCCGGGCTGCACTGCTGAGCCACTGAGCTGTATTGCTGGCCCTTCAACTGTGCTTTAAAAGTATATCACTATATTTGAAAATCAGTTTCACATTGGTGCTTCTATTTGAGAAAATTTTTGAATATATCAAATTGTAACACCAAAAATATAACCAACAGTGAAAATAAAATGATATTTGTACTCAAAAACTTTAGAAAAAATATTTTAAAATTATAGTATTTTCTACTAAAACTTTTTACTTTGTGATATAGGTTGGTATAATATAATTTTAATAAGAGAAATGATTCCAAATGTTATTATCTATGGCATCGGTCACTAGATACTCATTAATGGAATAATCAATAAGAAGAGATAATAGTTGTAAATGTATCCATACCATATAGTGACACAGACCGATTCATAAAACAAATACTACTGGACATAAGAGATTCAATAATTATCAACAAACATATTGAGAGAGATTCAATACAACAATATCATAAATACACATATCAACCAGCTAGACAAATCAACATACAAATATCAGTTGATGCATGTTTCTGAACAAATTGTTTTAAGGTATAACTACAGAGTGTTCTACCCAACAGAAACAGAATACATGCTTTCCTAAGCAGCACACAAAACTGTCTTAGAAACAGGGTATCTACTAACCCATAAACATGCTTAAGTAAATATAGAAGCAGTCAAAATTATCCCTTGTGTATTTTTGAATCCTAGTACAAGGAAATTAAAAATCAAAGGAAAAAAAGAACCAAACAAACTATGTAAATGCATGGAAATTAAATGAAACTTTTTTTTTTTGTCTTTTTCATTTTTATGGGTACCAGGGATGGAACTCTTACGACTGCCTGCTGAGCTAAATCCCCAGCCCCCTAAATGAAACATTTTTGAATAATTGATGGGTCACATGAGAAATTGAAGAAATTAGGTAGCTCCTGGAATCAAACAATATTACCAATAAAACGTAACAAAGTTACGGGAGACAAGAAAACAGTCCTAAAAAGGAAGTGAATGCTCATATTAAAAAAACAGAATGAACCCAAATAATTAGTCTAAGCTGTACCTCAAAGTTCTAGGAAAAGAAAAACAATACAACTAGAAATGTAGTGCAAAGAATGAAATGATAAATAGCAAAGCAGAAATTCATGGAATTCAAATTAAAATATAAGAAATGGATCATTGAATCAAAAAATTGATTCTTCAAAAGAATAAACGCGACAGACAGGCACTTAGCCAGGAAAAAGGAAAGGAAAAATGTGCATCAATTCAATTAGAAATGAAAAAAGGGAAATCACAATAGACAACACAAAATATAAAAAATCATTAGCAACTACTTCAAAATCCTGAACCCCAACAAACAGGAAAATCCAGACAACAGGATGGATCCCTGGATATATATTAATTATTAAAACTAGGTCAAAAAGATTTTAAAAGCTAAACAATAGAGTAACAAACAATAAAATTGAGGCAGTAGTCAAAAAAACAAACAAACAAACAAAAAAACCTACCAAGTAAGATAAAACAAGGAATCCAAAAACTCACCACTAAATTTTACAATAACTCCATGGAAGATTGTAAGTCAATATTCTGCTATTTAATAACTTATGCCAGAAGGAGTACTGTCAGACTTATTCCTGAAAGCCAAGATAATCTTTTATTTTTTTAAACCAGAAAAGACCCAACAAAAAAGAAAGCTATAAGTCAATCTCTCCAATGAATATAAAGATCCTTAATGAGATGCCAGCAAACAGAATGCAACAATTAAAAAGATCGTACATTAGGATTAAGTAGACTTCATCCCCGGGATGCTAAAATACTTCAGCACACACAAATCACTAAATGCAATGCATCACATAAATAGAAGCAAGGAAAACAATCACATGATCATCTCAATAGACCCAGAAAATGAATTTAAAAATGCATCACCTGCTCTAATAAAAACCTTGAAGCAAATATGTTATAGAAAGACATTTTCTAAATTTGATAAAAGCCATCAAAAACATACTGCTGAGATCACATTAGGAGGAAGAAAAATTTCAAAGGTTTTATTCTAAAATCAGGAACAAGACAATGATGTCCACTAACACTACTCATGTTCAATGTAGTAATCAAACTTGCAACCTGAAAAATGAGGCAAGTGGACAAAATAAAAGAGATACATATAGGAAAAGAAAAGGAACAAATAAATAAACAAGAGGTTAAAAATATTCACACATGTAAGTAGCACTCTTGTACACCAATAACAAACCCAATGAGAAAGAAATTAGGAAACAAGACCATTCATGCTAAATTAGAAATAACTGAATACTTAGCAGCTAATCCAAAGAAGGCATTAAAAGATTTTTGGGAGTCTTCCAGAGACAACATTGTCAAAATCTCCACATTTCCAAAGCAGATGTGTAGGCTTAAAATAATTCCACTCCAAATACCAAGAGCTTTCCTCACAGACCTAAATAAATAATCCTAAAATTCATGGATGACTAGAAGAGACCCAGGATAGGAAAAGCAATTCTGAGCTACAAAAAAGCAAAGTGCACCACAATTCTGATTTCAAGTTACATTACAAAGAAACATTGACACACAAAAACAACATGGAACTGGCATAAAAAAACCAGAAACAACAACAACAACAACAAAGCTGTAGATCAATGTAACCAAATAGAAGTTACAAAAACAACCCGAGGAACATTCAGAAGCCTGATCTTTGACAAAAGGAGTCAAGAACATATGCTGGAGAAAAGATAGCCTCTTCATCAAATGGTATTGTAAAGAATGGCTGTAAACCTGAAGAATGAATCTAGGCCATAGCATTTTCTGTGAACTAAATGACAATCCAGAAGTAGAAATCAAAATACTAAGATTTCATCTTATACCAAAAGAATATCTATCAACAAGAAATCCAATAGTAAATGTTGTTAAGGCTGTGTGTGGAAAGGAACACTTCTTTGTTGGTGGTGGCAATATACAGCTAGTATGTCCACTATGGAAATCAGTATGGAGAGTTCTATAAAACTTAAAATAGAAATTCTGTTTGATCCAGTTCTTCTAGAGCCTTTGTCTTTCTCCAAAGAATTAAAGACATGGAATTGGAATGATCTAGGCCTACCCGTGTTCACAGTAGCAAAACCCCTAATGGTTAAACCTAGAAGCAGCCTATATGTTCATCAACAGAAAGCAGAGAATATGTTTGAATTTAACTTAACTTTAACTGATAAAACTGCTATTTCTGCCAATGGCAGACTTACCAGCAACAAAGGCCTCATGTCGTCCCTTCAAAAGCCAGTAATGTCACTTGATGATGTTAGTTGTATTGGGCCCTTTCCATACTAAAATGGACGGCATGTCAGACTGAAGTGACCATAATTAAGTGAAGTTCAATTTTGTTCCCACTTCTTTCTGGCAGTACCACAGTTCCTTCCAGCTTTGAGCACCTGAAGTTTAATTAGTCCTCTGGTGTGAGATCCTAGATATCATCACTATGGATCAAGGCTATTCTTTTATAAAATTGAGAAATGCTACAGCATGTGTG